GAATGAATTTCGGTGTAATATGCGAATATCAACCACAGGTAAAAACAAATATTGTTAAGATATGTTGTAATTGTCAATCTATTTATTTGAATTTTGTGTAAATTATAAGAAAGCCATATTTAAAAGCCCAGTAGTCAAGCTGCTATCTACGACCCTGTTTGTTCTCCAATGATTATCGTCGACCTTGTTTGTTATCCAAGTTGTATATGAAATATGAAATTGTCCATCCTGTTCGACATCTGTACAATAGTGGTTTGTGTTTTATGGTATGTTTTTAAAAAATTTTTTTAAAAAAACAGTTTATCTACTCGCGTATTTTTGTACAAATTTTCTTATGTTTTATTTTTTATGTCTAGTTGGCTGAAGAGGGGCCAATGCCCGAAACGCGTAATGTAAAAGGCGTCCCAACTGAATAAATAGTCAATAAGTTGCCAAGTGTTGATATATGTCACCTTAGTGTGTCTGCAAAGAAACAGCAAAAAAATGGTAAATTTATTTATTTTCTTATTTACATTTTGGTTGTTGCTCCTAAGTAAAATACATCGCTTATCCATTTGCCTTATTAACAACAGTGTTACGTAATTTATGGATGATCACAATAGTTTATATATTTTCCAACTACCATCCCAATCTCTATTGCTCCATAAATGCTTTTTCTATCCACCTCCCAAAATAACGTAACGCATATCTCCGATCCTTAATTATACTAAGGAATTATAGACAGCAAAGGATACTGAACTTACATTATTTAATTAATTGCATGTGCAACGTACTGTACAAAGCAGTGATAAACGGTACAGTTCACTATGCAACACTTCAGAAACAGAAATGAATCTTTCTGTTACCCAAAGGTCGATAGCCTAGAATTACATAACATTTCTGTAAACACTCCACATCCCCTTATAACGCGCCGTAACGATTACTGAAACCCAATAAAACACCATTAATCAATAATAAAACTCAAGCCCTATAAAAGATAACAATACGCAAAAACAATAAGAGAATTAAAAACCAAACTGTATATTTCAACAAACCATTAGCACAATTGGAAATAAAACACTGGAAAAAGAAAAAGCTACAAAAATCTTTTTAAAATTTTTATAATGTTCTACAGTTTAAATTTTGTAGTATAGTTATATTATTATTATAAAATAACTTATTTTTTATTAGATGAATTCTTCTGTTAATGATCTACGACTTACCGGAAATAACATAGATAGTGAAGGAGCTTCACATTTGGTTACTTTATTGAAAAAAAATGTTTTCATTACAAACCTAGTAAGTTAATTTAACATATTTTAAAATGTCTTTATATTACTCATTATTACCATCATAAAATTCCAAATTATTATTGTTAGAATTTATCATATAACCAAGTGTGTAATGATGGAAGTGAAGCAATTAGTACTTTGTTAAAAACATCTTTCTATATTGAGAGCATTAACTTATCCCGTAAGTAAAAAATAATTTTAATGCATTCTCATTGAATAAACATAATATAAAGATTTATAAAAATGTCATATAGATAATAAAATATACCAAGATCAAACACAGTTATTAGCAGATGGCATAAAAGTAAATATTCTTACATCTAAATGATTTTATTCATTATATAAAAGTAAATGCTTTTTATTTTCAATTTAGATAAGCCAGTCTTTAATTGAATTAGATTTAAGCCATAACTACCTATCCAAAGTTGGTGGAACTATTATAGGACAGTTATTAGGTAAATATCTTGTAAATGATATTATACATAAAGATGTTAAATGTTAAAAGATGGAGGAATAAAATTCTCCAAAAATTATTATAAGTAATGTTTTTAGAATAAATAAAATAAATTTGAACATAAAAATTTATTGTATAAATAAATAATCTGAGTTAGAAAATTCACCTCATCATAAAAGTATTAATTTTGTCTTTTAAATTATTATTACATGTATGGTTTATTATTATTATGAGCAGAGTTTTGGAATAACAAATTGAAAACTGAGGACTTTTTCATCATTTGATAGAACATTTATTAGTAATTTGTCAAATTCAGTAATAAAAGCAGTGGCGGGCCGTCCATGGAAGCTGTGGAAGCGCCTCTTCCCTTGTATTTTCTAAAATATAAATACTGTACATATTTTAACGTACTTTATATTACTTAAAATTAATATTTTATTTTAAGTAATATGTTTTATTAAATAACACATAATCACATGCACACAAAATGTAAAGTTCATTTTTTGTGATGAAGGTCCTAACTTTTTTAAAATTCTGATTCTTTTGCAATAAAGTCGTGAAGTTTCACTTGTCGCTTTTTTTCTTTCCTTATGCAAATGTCGGTAGCAGAAGATTGCATCCAAGATGCCTCATTTTGCTTTTGTACTCCTTTCAAAATCTAGATCATTCGCTACAATTTCATCAACAATTTCGGTTATCGTTACCAAACTTTTACTAAGGAAATCTATAGAGAAATTTTTTGAGTTCTTCGCTTTCAGAATCTCCATTTTCCAGTTCCACATGAATTCCATGTTCTGCCAGTTCTTGAAGATCGCCGTTGGTAAGACTCTCACCAGAAACCTGCAGTAACTCCTCAATATCCTGCTCGTCTATATCTCCTAGTCCTGCTATATCGATTAGGTTGAGTTTGGTCAACACAACGATAAAGCGATAGGCTCTTCTCGTTGAGAATTCTTGGATACTTTCAGCCATAACTTCTTTCACACTTCGTGCATTTATCAGTTAATTCTTGCCAAGCGAAGTCGATATTTCCAATGACATCCATGATGTTATAATTTTTTTTCCAAATTGTACCAAACAAACATAGATTTAAAGAAAGTACACATTTGTGCCACCTTTTGCTGATTGGTTTGTGTTCGCAAATAATCGTATTTTATACAAATCAATGAAATGCCGCGATAATTTAAATCAGCGTATATTTTGAGCTTTTTTTAGGCTTAGAGCAGACCGCGTTATATCGAATCAGCGTTAAGCGGGGTCTTACTGTATTTTATTACAAATTTCCATACATGTGAAAAACAATGATAAGATTGCTATTGTATATTCGAACATAAATTCCTATGTGCATATTCCCAATGGAAGCGCCATATTGACAGCTACCACGACCAAAATATTTGAATAGTGTAAAGCAGCCAGATTGTACACATTCGCGAAGCTTTACAGAGTAACCTCTCGCGGTTCAGCTGGTGGATGCTACACACCAATACATCGTATAACGCTTCCAATGATTCTATCCATTAGCCACTGGTAGGGAGCAATTTGACTAAGTGCGTTGTTTTAAGATTTAAATACTTTGATGGAATCGACGACGAGCGATTTTTATGATAAAGTAATTAACGACTTCGCCGAAAAAATTGCCAAGTAGAGTTAGTTTATAAAAAATAATCAAAACAAAATTCTTATATCTTTTTTCGTGTCAATGTATCTATTTTACAATTAAAATACACAGGATAATTTGCAAATTATGACTCAAATTCACGAATGGATATCATTCATTCTACTTGTTGAATATAAATCAAATTTTGAAAACTGGTAGATGTTGCTTTTCTTTGCATTCTAAGAACGTTTGAGTTCGATTGTGCTAAAAATGAAGGCAGCAGTTGCAAGCAAAGTTGACGTGTGCATCATGCTTCTTCCCAAAGAAGGTATTTCATTCCGCGCTATCATAAAAGCCCTCAAGAAGGATGGAATTGAAGTTTCCAGTCTACAGTTATCAGAGTTCTTGGTAACAAAACGAAAAAGTGACAAGCAAGTCTTCTGATGAGTTACATCCAATATTTCCAAGAGCTCGCACATCTCGGAGTAAGGATAAGATAAGGAAAGTTAAGGAAATGATTAGAAAAGAAGATCCACCTAGCCAGAGGACCATAGCAAAACGTTTGGGTATATCTCAGTTCACAGTTAATTAACACCATTATACACGAAGATCTGCAAGCAGCTACTAGGGAAGCTCTACGAGAGGCATCTGGCTGGAGGAAAAAGTAAGTATATGGCCACACTAGATGAAGCATATTTATACCTTGATTACTGCAATGGAACTCAAAAAATTCTGTATGTGCAGCCCAGACAGGAAGCACCAGAAGAATGGCTTGTCAAATGTCACGAAAGATGGCCTAAAGGATTTATGATTGTTGGAGGAATGACGGGCCAGGGAACACTTTCCTCTTATCAGAGTGCAAAAAAACTGAGAAAGTTAATGCTAATTACTATGTGCAACACATTTTGAAACCATATTTGGAATGCAAGATTCCAAAGCTGTATCCTAGAGAAGCCAAAGTGACTCTTTACCCTGACAAAGCATCTAGTCACACAGCTAGATATACAACCGCTCATCTCTAGATGTTGAAGGCTGATGTTAAACCATTCCACATTCCTGCAGAGGACATACTGACCAAAGCACCTGACATCAGCCCCATGGATTTCTTTGGATTTGGCTTTCTGAAGCAAAGTCTCTTTCTCATTATGGCTACAATATTAGATGGTCTCTGGAAAGTAATTCAACAGGAGTGGTCATCAGTATTGGTCGGAACTTGCAAGGTCTTCGAATCGTGGAAACAGCAATGTTGCACTGTGAGCCGAGATGCAGAACACATTGAGCAAACAAGGACAATTCATTGACGAATGCTTTATGAAAAAAACTAAGAGATAAAGTGAGTCACAATTAGCAAATCACCCTCTGTAAATAAACTGTTTATTTTTGTCATTTCCAGTATTTGTTTAAAATTTTTATGGAAACACAGCTTCCCTATCATCGAATGTCACAGCACACCACTGAATAAAAGTGTTAATTTTCTGTAAGAATTGTAAGCAAACAGCAGCAAACAGAAATTTTACATTTGAAGAGTGAACTTGCAAATAAGCAAATTCAGGCCAGCTTCCTGATATGAATTTGATAGAATGTCATCAATACTTAGTATCATTGACAAACTTGTGACAAATTTTACATATTTCGAATAAATCTTCTAACCTTAATATTATTCAATACAACTTCAGGTGAATATGGATCAAGTCAATTTTGCAGAAAATCAATATTTTTTTGCTAATTCTGATTAATCAGCAAGTGTTCTTTTCATTGGTGCAAAACAAATTTTGACTATCCATTTGTTACTCTGAAACTTGGCTTGTTAGATAGTAAACTATTAAATAATAAAATAAGTACTCTTCCATATTCCAAAACCGTGTTGTATCTTTATGTCTGTTTAAAAACTGCAATGTAGCACAGTAATCAACACATGGCATAACTCATTCATTTATTCCAGCTTTTGTTGAGATGCGTTTCTATACACGTTTCGGGCTCCGTTTTTGCCCCTCCTCAGTCAACTAAAACATATAAAAACCAATTATATACATATTATAACCCGACATATGAATTAAAACCGCAAAAATAAAAGTATATTTCTTTGGTATATACAAGTAAGACGCAACATACCATTTTTTAAAAAATTCCTTCTCTGTATGTATTTTTTTCCCGAACGGGAATCTTACTCTATATACTTGATTATTTCAGATACCAGGTTGAATATTTAATCTCACTTCTTCACGCTTCAGACATAGACTGTCTTATTTAAATTCTACTATACTTTGAAGACTATAAAAAACAACACCATTAGTGTACTCAACATGTAGGTATTAACAATATACAGGATTTTTTCTCTTACATACTTAGTTACAGTAGAGTTCTTGAG